TTGAGGTAAGAAAACCATTTCTATTTCTTGTGTAAATTCAGTATGTTGACCTCCTGCATTCTGTGAGATCAACTAAAATAAGTGTATAGTTCAAGAGCTATGAGATTTTGAATGTTGATTCTAATATTTAACAGTTAGCAAGAACTCCTCAGTTTCAATGTGTTAAATATACGTTGCAAACTGTATCAGATTTTTTTTTACAGTTTGCCTTTCAGCTGTAAAGAGCCCATGTTCTGCTTTGAGGTTTTCTCTGTCTTTCAGTGTTATATAGCTGCTTTTCATGCATGTTAAAGGTCGGTAAACTTCAAAGCCGTAAGTCCACACTAAATGAAGTTCTTCTCTTCCACAGAAAACACTTTTCTTTACTTGCCTGGAACACCTTATTTGAATTGCAGCCTTTTCTTGTGTTCTTTATCTACGTCATCATGTAACACATTGACTTAACAGCTGCTTCGCGGCTAGTCTGGCCCTCAAACAAAGATTGAGCTGCTTGAGCACAGTTCATAAAAAGATGGATCATTTCAGACAGAGGCTGAGAAGAGCAGCTGCAGCATGTACAGTGTTAGAAACGTAATGTTTGTGTGTTTAAACATTATAGCAGGTAAACATATACTAGTAGAGCCCAAAGTACAATTACGAAACGACACATGAGCATTTTATGAGTTCTTTAATTAGACAATCATGAATCATGACATTAAGACTTCACTAGCACAAACATCATTGACATTAAACTTGTGTAATGACAGCAATGATCAGGAAAACTGTTTAAATCTATGCGTCAGAATTCATTCTTTACCCTGGAAAAGCATCCTGTTTTAGTTCATGTAGTTTGGCACCTTTACCTCAATGTTCACTTACTAGCTTTTTTTTGTTGGCTGAATTCCATTTGATTTAACTCTTTAAAATTATGTTCTCTCTAGCAGTAATTTCAGCTGTGTCTAATCTATACATTCAGTGCCTGTTTCAGTAGCTAGAGCTGTGACATCTGGTACAACAGCTCTCCTTTTCTCTACTTTGACAGATGTTCTACATTTTCATTGTCAAAAAAATTCTTCTTTAAGTTGTTGGTGAAGATCACACTGGGTGTTGGTGCTTCACTGGGCTGTGTTACATTCAAAAGTGTCCCTGATGTTTAAATGCTATCCAGTGCACCACCAGCACCCAGAGAGAGCTCTATAATCAACATAGAGTACGACTGTCACCTTTTTGATGACAAGAACCAAAGATGTAGAAGCTTCATGAAAGTACAATTTATAGGAGAGCTGGGTATTGGATTGCATTCAAATTCACAGGTGTATCAAATGAAGTGACACCTGAGTGTATATCTGTAACCGACCACTAATATTCACAATATTGGGAAGGCTTTGAGCTTTGAGAATAAATTCAAAGTATCTCGGCAAAGAAGGATTCAACGTTGCTGAACCTATAAGTAGTCTGAGTAATGACGCTTGTCAGTTTCACGTACAATTTTTTTTTGGAAAGAGAAAAAGACCCCAACAGCATTGTATTTTTATGTGTATTCACAACTTTTCTGTTTGTCATAAATGCATGTTGCTTCCAATTGATTTCATTACCAGGATCCTGACAACAACAAGATTGCACAGTGGAGCGATGCATTCTCTATAAATAGAATAGTGGAGCGTAATTTCGCCTTGAACTCTGAGGCCCGTGAGGGAACCTACAAAGTCACTGTGGTCTCTAAGTATGGGACGGCATATCAGTCCTTCAAAGTGGAGAAGTATGGTAAGTTTGGGAGATTGTTTTTGCGTGTCAGTTCTGTCCATTTACAATGAAGTACAAATGCTAATATGCATGTTTTGTCCACAGTTTTGCCTAAATTTGAAGTAACATTAAATGTAAGTGAGGAAGTGAGTATTGGGAGCCAAGAAATCTCTGCTACAGTATGTGCAAAGTAAGTAAAAGGCCTTTTTATGACAAATAAAATCTAAAGTAGGTCTGGAGAAGTGAATAAGTGATTGATTGTTTCTGTTTTATTTAATTAGGTACACGTTTAGACAGCCTGTGCCAGGATCTGCTACGGTTAAGATGTGTCGACCTCTTCAACGCTTTTTGCGTTCTGTAGACTTAACTCCTCCCTGCGCCACAGAGACAAAGAAGGTAGAGTTTCTATAATTATGGTCGCATCTCTCTGCTAAGGCAAAGTGCACGTAAAGCAGAAGCTCTGCCCATGCAGCATTCTGTACATGTAACTGCACTACGTTCAACATTTAGCATAATCTCTAATACATATACTCTATACTCTACAACCAACCTCACAAATTAATGTTCATGTCTTTATTACACCTACAGAAATCACCTATAACTTTATATTCTGAATTTTCATCTAGAAACTAAGTCAGCACGCTTGATGAGATGACAAAAACACAGACCTTCGTGAACACAGAAAGTGTGACACAGGCCTTTGCCTTTCTGTGTCTAAGAGTATGCAGACATTATTTTTTAGAGTGCAGTGATCATTAACTACACGTCGTGGTGTCTTTAGCTGTCCATGTGCACGTCCACAAGGGTTTATAGCTTAAGCTGTCCGGCTAGATTCTGGTTTGTAAGCTATAATGTAGCTAGTACATAAATCTAAAATAAATGTACCTGACATCTTTGCTCTTTGCTCACCATCTCATTATCCTCACTGTTATTGTTCATGTTGCACCTCCACACCTTGCACTCTTGTAAATTCTTGTAAATAACTACAGTTCTATGGTTCTTGTTTAAACTTAACTTAATTCTTCTTATCTTTTGCTTCTGCTTTGCATTACGACAGCTATTTTTTATTTTTAGTTACTTTTATTTTTTTAGCTATTTTTACATTTTTATCTTGTACATTGTTCCTCACTGTGTATATTTATTGTTGCACATCATCGTGACATGCTCGATGACACACAGTCCTCCATTTAGCCATCTAGCAAATGTCAGGACCATCAAAACAACCACATAGCAACCATGTGGTAACGCCAAATACAGTGCCACGTCCCGTAAATGACCTATTTATATGGTCAGTTCTTTCAGTTTGCCATAGAAATAAGTTAAATCAGGGCTGCAAGGTGGTGCAGTTGGTAGCACTGTTGCCTCGCAGCAAGAAGGTCGCCGGGATCTTTCTGAGTGGAGTTTGCATGTTCTCCCCGTGCAGCGTGGGTTCTCTCCGGGTTCTCCGGCTTCCTCCCACACAGTCCAAAAACATGTTGAGGTTAATTG